TATTTGTTAGGATTGTATCCCACAGTGAGAAAGAGACATGCCATAATTAGTTAGGGGGGGGGGTATTTTTTTTCATGTAACAAGAACTCAGAAGATGGGCAGTCCAGGGCCTGATCATGGCTCCAAATGCCATCAGGAATCCTGCCACTCAGTCTTCCTTAGCCTTTCTTGCCTCATGGTCACAATATGGTTGTCCCATCTCCAACATTAAGTCCAAATTCCAAGCAGCATCAGCTAAGTCTCCATTCCTTTTAAGAAGCTTTTCTGTAAGTTCCACACAACTTCTGGCACCGTTGGCCAGAACTGTGTCTAGGAAATATATTTTTATTTAAGCATTTGCAAAACCCCAAAACAGGTTTGTTTACACGAGGAATATAAACTGGAATCAAACTTGCAAGGAGAGGTGAAAATCACATTTCAGGAAATGAGGGAGCCTGATGAGGCCCTGCTTATCTGCTGAGGACTCATTTCACAAGAAAAATAACCCCGCAAGGGCTCCTTGTTGCTTCTTGCCATCGTGGGCTGATAGCGACTTGCGGTTGGGCGGGTGGCTAGAGGGCAGCAGAAGAACCGGCATTCTGCCCAGGAGAAGGAAGAGATACGGAGGCGACAGACCTCCGGAACTGCAGCACCACTCCCCATTACCAAGCAGGCCCGCGTTCATCCAGTTTCAGAGTATCCCTCTCCCTCAGCCACCGTTTAGTAACTTCACTTGCTTATCGTCTGTCCCCACTTCCTTCTGGCTACGCTCAACCTGGCTGTGACATCAGAGGCCTGCCGATTCAGCGTCCCGTCGCGTGCTGCCATTGTGGAGCGCTGGGCCCCGGGGGACCCAAGGCAGGATGAGTCTATGTCAGGCGCCTGCCAGGCTCGGAAACTCCGCTCTGGGGTCCGGTCCGAGGAGCCGGCAGGGCTGCCCCGCGAGCTCTCCTTCATGCCCGGCTATGGGCCCCCAGTCCGCGGGCCCTTCGGCAGCACGTCTCTCCACTACACAGACGAGGTCTGTTGCCGCGTCCGGGCCCCTTCCTGGACTGGACTGAGCAGGTTCTGGGTTTTCTGCATCTTTGTACCCTCAGAGTCCACACAGCCCCTGCGCTCCAAGAAGAATCGAGAATGGCTCCGGCTGCGTCTTTTTCCTCGCGCGGCAGAGACACGTTCTGCTCCGAACACCCGACTCGAGCCTCTCCCAGTGTTTCTGGGGGAACATAGCCCTGTCCTCCCCGCCGACCCCCGGGCCCAGTCGTCCGCGGGCACGGCTTCCCTTCGCTCTCTGCCGCCCTCCGCCGGCGCCTGGCGAACACCACAGCTGCGCGGTGGAAGGGACGGCCCTGAGCCGGGTAAAGCGCACGCGCGAGCGCACGCCCGCTTGGCCCGGGCCAGCCTGCCATTCGGCGCCTGAGCGCCTGCGCTCCTGGTGCGTGCTAATCCGAGGACCCAGGAGGCTGGAAAACTCTCGCTGAAGCGGGCAGGTGGCCGGGAAGCGGCCCGGAGAGGAGCTACTCAGAGTTCGTGGCCTGCAGGTCTGGGGCGCTGGTGTTCATTCCGGCCTCGGAGACTGCTGGGCTCCCAGCTTCGCTGTTTGCCGGGAAGGGGGCGGGGCGGCGGCGTGACCTGAGCCTGCCTCCCTGGACTGGGAGTGGAGCCGGACGGGATCGCTAAGGCCTGTTAGTCACTTGGTATTGTTGTTTGTCCAGGAAGGGCACAAAGTTTGTAGATAGTGGAGAGGAAAGGGGCGAGCCCGGACCGGGTGAGAGCTGGGGTGACCCGAGTCCCTGGGTGGTTTCGCTGAAGTCGGGTCCCCATTGCCCCACCTGTATGTAGAGGGTGACAGGGAGGTGAGGAGCACTGCTGAAAAGTGAGGATTCTGATAGAAATGGTACGAACGTTGGGATTCAGGATGGCAACCTGTCATTTTTGTATTTTCACTTTTCTCATAGAAAGAAGCGATTTCTTCTCTCGTGGCCCAACGTGGACACTCAGGTGCACTCACTTGCCCCTTCTCACCCTAGGACATGACACACGTAGCGCCTCTCGGCCATGGGGTCTCAGCATTCCGTCTTTGCTCGCGTCTCCTCCTGCCCGCGAAAGGAAGAAGATGACAACGAAGACTTGCAGGCTGAACGGGCGCAGGAAGAAGCCATTGCTCAGTTCCCGTATGTGGAGTTCACTGGGAGAGATAGCATCACCTGTCTCACATGCCAAGGGACAGGCTACATTCCGACAGGTGCAGATCTTTGGTGATCAGGGGACAGGTGATTTCCCAAGGAAAATTCCTGGGTACTCAGAGGATACTCATGTGTGTCCAGAGAGATTTTCTTCTGGGCAGTAATTAGATTCATATGGTCACAAACAATGCCCTGAACAGCAGCTGGCTCACCTGACTTGGTAAATGGTCAGGTTCCACAACTTTTTTGGTCTTCTTATATTTGAAACTCTTTCTTTCCTTCACTTCCACTCTTTTGTTCTTTTTCCTCCTGTGGATCCGAGCACTTGGTTCGCTCTGTGGCATGGGATTTTTGACGGGCTTTTGTTTCTATCAGTTTTTGCTACAGGGTGTATGTGCTTGTTGGAGAGAGAGAGAGGGAAAGTAAGAAATTACCCCCCAACAGGGATAGTCATGCCACAGTCCCTTCTCCTTCATTCTTCTCTTGGGATTTTGAGCACGCACTTGCATGCTCACGCACACGTGCACACACACACACACACACACACACACATGCGCTTAATGTCTTTGAAGCCACCAAGTCTGGAACTCAGACTGTGGAGTCAGCCACGTAGAATCCAGCGCCTTAACCTCTGTGCCACATTCATGTGTAAGGATGGTACAGCTTTGTGGGGGGACCCATCTTAGAAGCTTCTTCTCAAGGAAGCAGATAGGAAATCAGTTATAGCCTAAAATCAATTATGGGTCTGAAAAATGTCTCAGGTGGGAGAGCAGCAGTGCTCAAGGGTAGAGCCTGAGTTAGGTACAGATGATCCATTGCTAAGTTGGCCTTCAAAAGGTCGTAACAGCTTGGGTAGAGAGACTGAGTTTATTTGGTGAGGACCTTAGAAGCATGTACTGCAAAGCCCTTGTGTTAAAGGTGAACAAACAATGGCCTTAAGAGTTTGGTGGCTTTGCCAAAGCCATGCAGGAAAGCCGGAACCAGTTCTCAGATTTTCAACTTCCCTGCCACTGCCCTGGCCGCACGGAGAGATCTTTGATGATTTGTGGCACCCTCAGTGGATTTACTTGTTTTTTTATTCAGTAAACCCAAAATGCGAAACTTTTTTTTTTTAATGTCTAGTTCCAGATAAATGCTTACTGTGGTAGGCTGAAGTGAAATGTAGAGGAAATACTGCCAACACAGAGGGTTTAAAAAATATTCTTTTCTAGACCAAGTCAATGAGTTGGTGGCTTTGATCCCACACAGTGATCAGAGACTGCGCCCTCAGAGAACGTGAGTTACCTGCCTCTCCCCCGTTAATACCCTCATCTGCCCCTCCTCCCATTTTATATGAATGAATTCCAGCTAATTGTGTGAAAACCGCATCTGTTCTTGTACGTTCCCATTTCCTTCATTACTGTTTGCCTGAGCAGGATAGCTCTGCTCATGTCACAATATGAGGATAGATACTTGCTAGAAATGTCTGAGTGCCAAGCGAAGGGCTGAGATTGGGAAGAATGAAGAAGTGAGGTGTTCTGGGAAGCAAGGTCACTGTCCACACAGCTGTCCTTTTGAGCTTTGCTTCCCAGAGTGCAAACAGTATTCGAAGTGGAGTTCAAGGCTCTGCTTCTTGCCTGGTTTGTGGTTCATGATTCCTGGCTCTTGTACTTTGATTTCACTCTTCCCTTGTTCATGGTTTTGCATTTAAGCTCAATGAATTGGACCTTGACCTTGACTTCCATGGTCAGTCATGTGCTATGTCATTTGCAGTAAGCAGTATGTCCTCCTGTCCATCCTGCTCTGTCTCCTGGCGTCTGGCTTGGTGGCTTTCTTCCTGTTTCCACATTCAGTCCTTGTGGATGATGACGGCATCAAAGTGGTGAAAGTCACGTTTAATAAGCAAGACTCCCTTGTAATCCTTGCCATCACGGTAAGACGTGGAGCCTCACTTCCTGGGTTGTGCACCTGCAAATCTGGCCCCTAAGACATTTACCCTTTTTTCTTCCCTTGCCTTAATGCAGGCTACCCTGAAAATCAGAAACTCCAACTTCTACCCTGTGGCGGTGACCAGCCTGTCCAGCCAGGTTCAGTACATGAACACAGTGGTTGGCACATACGTGACTACTAACATCTCCCTCATTCCACCTCGGAGTGAGCAACTGGTATGCTGGTCTTTCAGGAACCTTGCCCCATAGGGCCAAAGTGGCGTAGGGGCCGTGAGGGTGCTGTTGGTGTGCTACTTTCCTCCTCTCTTTTCCACTTGTAGGAACTAGTCGATAAGGACACTAAGGTCTATAATTATGAAATATTGTTTGGAAGGTGAGAGGCAGGAAGCCCAGCTGGCATTTAAGTAAAAGAATTTGTGGGAGAAAGAGTTTTGCTATAGTCAGAGTAATATAGTCAAGGTCACTGGCCTTTCAACAGGGAAGAGGTTGGAAATATTTATTAGAGGCCCTTAGACTGTAGCAAGGACAGTCTCAGGGAAATATTTTGTATGTGATGGAAGAATGATCCAGGATCTCTGGATTGCTGATGATAGTGGTATTCTGTGTCGAGCCTGCCTGGCCACAGACTGACTCTGGTGTCTTATTTTCAGGTGAATTTTACTGTGAAGGCTGAGATGGGAGGACCGTATTCCTATGTGTAGTAAGGACAATATTCTTTGTATATATGATCTCTGCTAGGTGGAGGGGATTCAGAGTCACATGCAGTTGACTATGGCCTGGTCCTGCCTTAAGTCCCAGCCTTTGGTTCTCTAGCCTTGGTTGTCTTAAGATTTATCGGAGGGTGGGTCATCTGACATGTGACTGAAGTGCTACGATTTCTAAGCATTAAGCTACTAAAAACATTACCAAACTCCAGCATTTATATGATGGATTTGCACAAATGAAAAAGCATCACGATAGGGGAGGGTAAGCCCAACAGTAATGGAGACCCAGAACTGGTGAGCCTTGGGAGTGCTTAGGTCGGAGGGTAGGGGGAGTGGAGGCACCCCAAACAGGACTGACTGCTCCTCAGTCCGACAGTATAACTCAGTGCTTGTCTACTGATTTTTTTTTTTTAAACCAAACTGACATTTCCCTATTTTGCTGTTTGGTAGCTTCTTGTGCACGTTACCTGATATCCTGGTACACAACATTGTGATCTTCATGCGGTATGTCACTCTCTTCTCCAGCCTTTAGCCTTAGTGTTAGAGCTTGGACCACCAGCCCATGTGAGCTCATCACTTTTGTTCTGAAGATCCTGTGTGACCACAAGGCAGAGGCACCCAGCCAAGGAGGGGACAGCCAATGCCTTACAGACATCTAGGGTAGACCCTGGGTTCTTTCTGGATGCAGTATCCAAATCCCTTTCACTGATCACCATCAGCAGTCGGACACATGATGTCCTCCATAAAACGGGGTCTAGTTTAACTTAGCACATTGTGATCCCGTTAGCACCCTCATGAAACCAGTAAACAACAGAACAGCTTTCTCAGGGTGGAAGTACTGGGCATTTGACCTGGTTAGTCTCTGGTCACACAAATTCCCACATCTCATGGACCTTTAGGGGCGTTCCTGGAACCATGACTGATGAATTCACAGACAAGGGTCTGCTGCAAATATTTGAAATATGAGGGGTCAGAGCACAGGGGTCAGCCATGTCACTATTGACATTTTGGGCCAGAAAGTTCTTTGCTGTAGGGGGCTGTCCTGTATATTGTACAATGTTTATAGTATCCCAGGCCTCTACCCAGTAAATGCCAGTAATGTGCACCACCCCTTTCCCCTCAGTTGTAACAACGCAAATGTGTCCCGACATTGCCAAAAGTCTCCCGTGGTGCAAGTATTCCAGGTTGAGAACCTCTTGTTTTGAAGGTCACCTCATGGCACAGCATCTCTGTAGAGGTGAAACAATCTTCTGGCCTCCTGGTTACACAACCATGAAGCTACATGCCTCAGTTCTGGGAGTATTGTTGCCTCAACTTGCATGAAGCTATTTGGGCTATTTTTCTTGCTTATTTCACCTCTAAACCAGAATTAACTCTCCTTGCTTTTCTTTTCCCTAGAACTTCAGTGAAGATTTCATACATTGGCCACATGACCCAGAGTTCTTCAGAGACACATCACTATGTGGATTGTGGGGCAAATTCAACAGCCATTTAGCAGCTGCTCTTAGTTCTTCCACGGCAGCACCTATAGAAGAGAGCATGGCCCCTCTTCCCAGGCCCTGAGTTTCTTACCCATCCCTGGTGGTGGAAGCAGAGAAGGAATTGAGGAATTTGTTCCCTTATCCCCCAGCAAACATCCTCCTGCCACCAAGGAGGAAACTCTTCTCTACAGCACCATTTATGTCTCAGAACCAGCAGTCACTGCCCAGTACCTGGCCTGTACCCAACAAATAGTAGGCACTCAATAAAGGTTTGAAGAATTTCATTCATATCTTTTCCAGCTGTTCTCGGGGCATTAGGAATTAAAGACATAGCACAATTCTAGACTATTAAACCGTAGGGTGACAGGGAGCCTGTCAGTACAGAGCAGACTGTTATCAGTGCCTCTCTGTGGCCACTAGGGGACCACTTGAGCATCTAAAAGAAGAAAGCACAGATCCATTCAATATGTGAATTTGTTTTATCTGTTCCCAAAGCCTAGGTGCTTTTAAAAAAGAAAAAAAAAAATTTCTTTCCTTGTAGAAAATTCCAGTTGTTTTTACTGAGTCTTTGTGGGCTTGATTAACCCTTCATCCATTAGCTAGAACCTGGATTGGAGATTTGATAGAAAAATAAACTCTGCTTTCGATTCTTCTGTGTCTTCTCTGATTGCCTGGATGTCTCAGTGGGCACCTTGGGAAAACCATTGAACAACTTAACTGCCTGCTAAGAGGGTCAGCAAAGGACTCAGTATGGCAGGGAAAAAGAACAAGAACCCTGATGTTACCCCTTGTCCTCATAGCTCCTGTACAGACCAAGCAGCCTTACCATTCTCTATTGGACTCTTGGGCCAACAAGCTGCCCTATTGCTCTTCCAGCACAGGATACTCAATGCCCTCTGGAGATTGGAAGAAGCAGAGCAGGGATGCCTGAGGAGAAATAACCCTCTCCCCCACAGCTCCCTACCGGCAGCATCAGTCCTGAATAAGAGGACCTGATTTGAGGTTGAAAGTTTGATAAACTGTCACCATGAAAGGCTGGGCTACAATCCCAAGAGAGCAGAGCATCTACTTGGGAAGCTTGAGACATCAGATTCCAGAACTCAACTGAGGTGGGCCCCGGCCATTGCCACAGCTCCAGGGCCTTAGGAAACACTAACAGAGCAGGACCAGCAGTTAGCATAATGGCTATGTCGCTAGACTCCCGTATAGTTGACCACGGTTTGCATCCCAGACCCGGTGGCTTAAAACTCACACCGGGTGTGTGTGTGTGCGTGCCCAAGATCCCAAGAGGAGAATGGAGGAGAAGGGATTACGGTGTGACATCCCCCCTGGGGGGTGATTTCTCGTTTTCTGTCTCTGTCTCTGTCTGACGAGCGCACGTGCCCTATAGAAAAAGCCTCTCCACAAAAAAAAAAAAAAAGGATAACTGAAAGAAAGGGGGGAGTGGGTCACCTTATCTTTCCCCTTTCTTCAATGTCATCATTAAAAAAAAAAGAAACACTAACAGAGCAAGTGGCAGCAGGGTTGTATATTAGTTTTTGTCCCCAGTCCCATAGCTCAATTTTGAGTTTTTCTATAATGATTTCATATACTCTAAATCTTCAGACTAAGGCTACATCATGGCTATTTGGCCAATGTGAGTTACCCAAAAGCTGGGTGTTAGAAATGGAGTTTTAGTGCTACACTGGATCACTGAGTGATCTGTATGCACACGATAGTGATGACTGTGTTATGTACTGATGACAGAGTGTCACCACTTAACATGGAAGTAAAAGCATGCCATTTCTGAGAACATTGCCCTAAACTCAACATACCCTAAACACATGAAGGTGTTCATGTTGCTACATTTTTTTTCTTTAGTTTTTCCATTTTCCAAGTAGCCTCTATAGCATATTTTTCTTCCTTTCTTTGTTTTTTATCCTTGGGTATATGCACTTGCCAGAGACAGACAGAAACAGAAATCACCCTTAGGGAGATGGCCATGCTATAATCCCTTCTCCACTGTACTCCTGAGATGGGTCATGCAGGAACACAAGCCCAGAGTGATTTTCAAGTCACCAGGTCTGGGAGTTGAACTGCAGTCAGCCATGTGGGAGTCCAGCACCTCAACCACCATGACACCTGCTGGGACCTAGCATATTTTTCTTATAATCTTGGTACTCATACTGATGATTCTTCAGTTTTTGAATTGTTTATTGTGACCACATACCTCAGTAACATTTCTTACATTTTGACATTGCCTTAAAATTCAGCTATGATAAGAAAATAAGAGCTCTTAAATTTTGTTTCTTTTTCTTTTTATAATTTTTTTTTAGAGATTTTTTGCTATAGGGCACATGCTCTCACCAGAGAGAAAGTGAGAAATCACCCTTGGGGAGATGGCCATGCTGCAATCCCTTCTGCTCCATTCTCCTCTCAGGATTTTGGGCAGGTATGCACACATGCCCAACATGAGTTTCAAGCCTCCAGGTCCAAGACTCAAACTGCAGTCGGCTATGTAGGAGTCCAACACCTTAACCACTATACCACCTGCTAGCCGTGAGCTCTTAAATTTTGTAAGGATACAGCAATAAGTCTGATCTCGTAATTCTGTGAGTTCTCATACTTTATAGTCTTAGCATCTCAAATGCTCTTAGGAATGCTCTGCACTGTTTTATCATACTAGTTTTTGAACTAATGCCTAGAAATTTCTCTTAACAACTCCAAAATGGAAAGGGAACGTGACTGGTTCAGGTATCATTACCATCACCATTATGGTTTTTTTTTTTTTTTTTT